GTGATTGAACCAGTATGCAGTAAAAACAAACGTGTTTAACCATTTGTGAAGAAATTCGCGAACTACAACAAATAGGAATTCATTTATTTTATATTTGAAATGCAAGATTTAAAACCGCTCTAACTTTTGTGCGCAGCATCCGAATTTGTGAACGCGAACGGATTTAGAATCAGCATATTTTTCTCAACCTATGAACCAAAAATCATGAATGTGCTCGCAAAAAAAATTTTCAAAATTTGTTTAATGGAATTTTAAAAGAATTTTGTAATTTCCCATATTTGTTTTTTGGAAAATCGAAAGAAGATTTTGATGGCATCTGTTGTCAACTTCAGTTGCTTCACTCGAAACTTTTTTAATTAGTTTCATCGAACCGCCGTGATACAAATAGTGCAGTGAGTCAAATGCGCTCTTCCGCATATTTGAAGGGATGAAAGGTCTAGCGTTTTCCGTTGAAATATCACAGTAGACACGCTAAGTTTTGGGGCGATGTCTAGATTAATTTTAGAATCGATGACGATTCGGGATTGCTTAATAGACTTTGTAATTCAGAATCACACTTCTGAGATTCAGCTAATTCGTTGCAATCAATAGATGTTGGCACTGAAATGATTGCAATCCGAGAGAGTGCGTCTGCGACGACATTATCTGCTCCGCTGATGTGACGTATGTCAGTTGAAAATTGAGAGACATAATCATCATTGACGAGATTGTCGAGGTGTAGCTTTATCAGAATTTTGTTTGAAAAACTTAAAGGCATCCAGCCATTAGCTGTATGTTGTTGGAGGACTCCACCAACGGCCACATCGGAAGTGTCGAAAAATTTGCAAAAAAAAAAAAAATATGAAGCATATGAGCATTTCCGCGAATTTAATATCGAGCTATATGGATTGCACCACGTCATATATGTTATTTTGAGATATTTTGGTACAAAATTGTTGGTGGATCATTCCTAAAAGCATTCATTTGTCAATTATTGAAAAATTTCAAAATATTTTTTTTTTCAATTGAATTGACATTGTGTTGAAACTATTTTATGTGAGAATAAAAAAAAAATAATTTAGAAGTATATCATTGAATCTACACGTTGTCCATAAATTGTACGTGAATTTTGGGACAATCGCATGGATGAAAATCAGAAGATATTCGGAATAGATTTATGATTCTAACTTACAGACCTTGATTATTTTTCTTAAAAATTCTTTAAAGTACCTAAAATGTTGCTATGCCACGGGAAATATCAAATCAGGTGGTTATACGCCTAATCGTTGGTCAATGTTCTTGAACTTATAAACACAACACCTCGAATATATTCAAAAATGTGTATCACAGAGAATACTAATTTACAATTATATTTTCTTTGCAAAATTATATCACTAATCTCAAATGGAAAGAGATCAACTATCAAACAGCAGCAAACTTAAAAAAACTCCGCCAAAAACATTTATTATAAAAATTGTAGATGTAACTATGAAATTGCAAATACCTCAATATGTCAACTACCGATGTATACAGCATTAATTGGTAGTACGTTGTTCGTTCTTTGAACAAATAATGTTCAAAATTACAGACACTCAGGTTGTAAAACGGGTTAAGAACTTTAACATACCAAAAATTAAACGGGAAATATGTGCGGCGTCTTTTAAAAACGTTAAGTTATAGTGCACAATTTCTGGGAATAAGTTTTTCATTAACAGGAATCCGTTATGTCAAATTCTAAAGGAAAATTCGGTCAAAGTTATTATAATACCGAAAATGGGGGAACCTATATGCAGAGACTATATCAAAATTTCCGCAATATTCCGGAATGACTTATTATAGCTACTACAATGGGAATGGATATATATTATTTTTTGGTAGGAAGATTTGACACCACATGAGAAAATACCAAACAATGGACGATACTATTATATGGGGGCTAACTGGAATCTTGGACCATATTGATAATTTTTGTTATGAGGTTTTGATCATCCGAAATAAAAAATTACAGCCACTGGATCTACCCTAAAAAGTGAACAATAGGAGTAGTAGTAATGCATGTGCAAATTTCAAAGCTCTATTTTAAATTGTGAAGGGTAAAAAAGCCAAGTTAACGTTGGGCTACCGATATGAGGAAGTCTTATAAATATATTGGGAATATGTAATTAATTCCGAAAGTCAAACTTATATGTACATATAAGTTTATTACATTTTATCCATAAATTCAAATATTAATAAATGTATATACACTAAACTTTGAATGCAAAATAGCAACAAGACTCGCTCATAAACACCAAATTGTAGATATTCAGCACTGTAATGTCTCTTTATGTGTGCTCTGATAAATACCAAGGTATTACAAAGATCTGTACACTCCACCTTATGATGTAGGATATACAAACAAATCTAAAATGGGCAAGACAACGTTTGCCGGGCCCGCTAGTCTTTTATAAAAAATTACCATAGCAACGAATCGACGAAGTTCTTATATCGTTTTTGGTTGAGGATAGTTGGGTATTGCTTCAACTTTTTCCGGTAATGGACCTATACCTTCAGGTTCGACAAGATGTTTAAAAAAAATTAACAGATTGCTGACCAAAAACACACTTTGACAGGTTTACTACTTAACCGAATTCTTGAAGTCTAGCGAATTATTTCTTTAGGTGGTCTAAATGTTGTTCTTAGTTTTCGGATGCCACCAAAATGTCGTCGAGGTCGCGTAACATTTCGTTCCTGAATCTTTGAAACGTTTGTCCAGCATTACATAACCCAAATGTTATATACTCGAACTCAAAGAGTCCAAAGAGTGTTGTGAATGCGGTCTTTGGGACATCGTGAGGTGCAATAGGAATTTGATTGTAAGCTCGCACCAGATCGACCGTGGAAAACAATTTCTTTCCTTGGAGGCCATGAGCGAAATCGTGCAGATGAGGGAGAAGATATTTGTCTTGGATGGTTTGTGCGTTCAAAAGACGGTAGTCGCCACATGGTCTCCATTCGCCATTCTTTTTTGGTGCCATGTGTAAAGGACTTGACCAGCAGATTTTGGAAAAGCGGCAAATTCCTTGATCCAGCATATACTGGAATTCTTGTTTCGCTATGGCTAACTTATCTGGGGGAATCGACGATGTTTTGCTGTAACAGGTCTTCGAACCTCCTGGTCTTCGAAAACCAAGTGTTGGAGATATTCGTTGTTCCATAGGTTTTGATTGATGAACCATTTGCAGCAAAAAGAGTGTATTTTTCGGGACGACTGTTGCCTTTTTTATGATCCACGGGTATAACAGAAGCGTCAGCGCCTGTGCCGATTAGGAAATGATTTCCTAACATTTTATCATCATCAAATAGGCGATTCGTTTGGCTAAACTGTTCACTGTTCGTCTTTAGTGACCGGTTTATTGGTTTCTCGATGGTTGATTGCTGTAGAAGGCGCATGGTTGTCGGCACTTTCTAGCTCTCTGCCCAAAACGACGGTGATAAAAGCATATACCTGATGTCGTTGAGTTGTTTCGGTCATTACTATGAGATCTACCTCTGGAATGTTGTCTTGAACCAGTATCATGCATCTTCTGGACAATTGCAGTCAATGTTTCAATCTGCTTTGACATGGCTGTGAGATCAAAAGAAGAGATACCGGTGGTAACACTCGAGATGCCCATTGACGTTGATACGTCTGCGATCTTGTCGGCCATCTTAGCGATTGCTGCAAGAGATTCCGCCGATTTAGACAGACTTGTTTGAGTGTGAACTGGTAATCGTTGCATCCACATGGTACGTAGGAAATCTTCCATGACACCACCATTTGCCATTTTCTGCATTTCTCTGAGTAGGATGCTTGGTTTTTTATCACCAATTTCCATATTATTTAAAAGTTGTTTGATGCGTTTCTCATCGGACAAGTAAAAATGTTCAATCAACCGTTTTTTCAATTGCGTGAAACATTAGGAGGATGATTCAACACGATATCACTTACATGCGTCAGGAATTCTGTATCCAATTCAGCGATAATTATATTGTATTTGGTTTGATCGGAATCTGTTCCATTCAAAGCAAATAGTGCTTCCACCTGAACAAGCCAGAGCGAAGGATTTTCTCTCCAAAATCGAGGATTTTTTATGGAATGCGCCATTGAACTAACAGCTTGAAATGTATTCTGTTGAGATGCAGCATTCACTGTTTCGGATTGCTTTGGCATTGTTGGTACTTCTTAAAGAAAATTCAACGTCGGGGTCACCAATTTATCGGAGGAGGTTTTAATAAAACACAACCGACAATTTATTCAACTGAATTTGAATTAATTTATTTTTCTTTCTACAACTTATACTTTTAAGTCACAGCATTCTATGTTGTAATAGAACAGTACAAGTATATTTTTGGCTAAAGTGTACCCCTACAATCTCTTTATGCCTTCCAATAGATGATACGCCTTGCACATCATTTTCATCATCCAAAAATGGTTCCAGTGAGCTTATCATCACTTAAAATTAGTTTTTCTGAAATATTCTATTCAATTTTGTGTTTGTTTACAAAACAATGCCAAAACAATATTCATAATGGTAAGTTTTATTTCAGTGGCGTTGCCAGTTGAAATGGCAACTGGAGTTGGGTTGCTATCCACAATCGACCCAATGATTTTTTTCCGATTTTCATAAATTATATCGAGTAAGTATCTATCTTTTGTTAACACATAGATGTATAGGAACCATAAAACGTTTAAATGGCAACACATTTTTTTTTCAATACGATTATTTATGCATTAGTAAACATTTAATGTGGTCGTCTAAATCTAATTTAAATGTGAGAAACTAACCAGCCATAAATTAACGAACGTTCTCTTGCATTGGCTTGCGTGTGTATGTGTGAGTGTGTGTCATAAGTAAAGAAAGGATCGTATTACATTTTGCAATATTTGTGCAATATCTGCGTACTTAATGAAAATAAATTACATTGGGCCAAATGAAATAACGAATACTCTCCTCACAGGCAACAGGACTTACCCAGGACTTTGACATCGACCGAACGTTGTGACGTGTAGTTGTGCTTGTTGCGAGCGATGCATGTGTATGTACCCTGGTCGGCTGTTCGTTGGACGTTCTCAATGAGCAACGTGCCATTTTGGACACGCTGTCATATGTTCGTGGGTAGTTTGACGCCATCTGATGATGCAAACGAGAATGGATGATGGGTTATTGCATTCATTTGGTTGTGTAATAGAGATTGAGTTTGCAATGTGAGAGTGATACGGCATGGCGAGTTTGGTACGAGAAGGGCGGAAGTAAAAATAAATGAAATTGATTTATGAAATATGCAGTCCGAACTTGTGCATATGCACACGACGGAAACATTTGTGTGTCGGTTGGATAGTGCTTTCTTCATTTCTCCATGGTTGAACGAATACATACCTTTTTCTATGGTAATGCTATCGATGGGATATCCTGCCACAGGACATTTGAGAAAAAATGATTTTCCAGCAACGGCAGACAACTTTGGCATTGGTCGCACATAGGGCATACCTAAATTAGAAATAAGTGAAGAATGAACCGAACATCATATATGAGAAATGAATTATGTGCTTCTGCTTTTGTGTGTGTTCATGTGAAACACTTTTTACTATATCTTCATTGGACGGACATTTTTTTGTAATCAACTTAAAACAAACTTACCATAAATATTCAGTCGAGCGGTATGTGATGCTTCACCTGCCCGAGAAATTGCTTTGCATTCGTAGTCGCCACCATCCTCCGATTTGACTGCAGAAATATTAACGTGACTAATGACGTCACCGAACATGGTAACATATTGCCCTATCATAAGTCGGTCATTCTGAAAACATACAACAGAAGAGAATGAAAGAGATTGTTCACAGATATCATCATTCATGAAATTTACTATCATCAACTCGATGATGATGATGATGCTGATGAAGGTGACTGATTGTTCAAATAGAATAATTGCGCAGTGTGCAACATAAAATTTCCAATGAAATTAAATATGTATGTACAATGTAAGTATGTATATTGGAAATTTCCGAGGGAATGACTACAGAACATAGCGGTGTTCAATTAATTTATTCACTTCCATTTCAATGTTGATTAAATTTAAAAATTAAATGGAATAGCTGCACACAGAGCCCTTGATTTTATTTTTTTTTTCATGCCGTATAGGTATGATTGTTTTTATTTTTTTAATTAGATAACAAACCAAAGTAAACGCGGTGCATTTGTACCCAACAATCTAGAACTTAGCTCTGAAATGTAGGGGTCTGAGCTCGATGTTGGTTCTCAAAATTATATATACATTAAAGACATGTATCATTAAATCTCGTAATAGCTTTCGAGTGGATAAATATGTTTTAAATGTTTTGAAAATTCTACTGCAGATTTAATCAAAAACAATAAGGAATGTATCGATCCTTTAGATTAATTTCCATTTTTTGAGTTTTTTTAATTTGTATTTATTTTAAGAATTCTCTATTGTTTCTACTAATTCTAGCAATTTATGATACATTTGAACCTTTATTTTTTTATATTATGTGTGATTTTCCAAATGTTAGGTGTACAAATTGTTGCCAATTTTGGTGGATTTTACAGATTTTTTTACAATTTTTTATATGTACATGATTTTATCGGTGCTTAGTTTACTTAATTTAACAATTTTGCGTAGTTTTTTTAGATATTTTCAAAACAGTGCAGTAAAGTAAAAAATCACATAATGTTTTAATTATGTGATTTTTCATACCAAATCTCTTAAGTGCAGTACATCTTAGTGTTCTGAATAAAAAAAATAAATAAATAAAAATACTTCCAATGAATTGAGGACTGATTAAGATGTTTTACACATTTATAGAGGTAGCTATTTTATAATATATTATATTTGGCATAAATACTTTTAGAAATTTTTAATTTTGTTGAAAACACATGGTATAATAATGTAAGGTACAACAAACAATTTGTTGTTGTATGTAATACTAGTGTCATTGTAAACTTACAAATAATGAAAAATATTACTTATTTTAAAAAGGAAATATTATTGAATGCTCAAAATAAAATTGAAAATCATAAATGAAAATCTATCAATTTAATATTTGTATCGCTTCCACATCTTTCCTCGAATTGAGCCATTACCAGTTATATGTGCATCACATATGAAAATTTTGGAAATTGTGAATTATTTTATGATGAGAGATATACTTATTTTGAGTAAATTGAATACGGGTGTATATTTTATAAAAAATTGGAATTTTATGCCTACGAAATTTCCCTGATGGGTAATTTTTATAAACACAATTGTTTTCATATACATATTGACACGAGTATAGAATCAATTGAAGTCAAATCAACTGGGTTGTGCAGTTACCTTGTATAATTGTACAAAACATAAAATTTGCAAAACACTGGTCGTTGTAAATTTTGTCAAATAATTTGTTCTGTAGTGCAATTGTGTAATTCTTTTCAATTCAGTAACTCGACTTTATTTTGGTCGTTAACTTTACGAATATTTTGGTAATCGACAATCTGTCGTTAAGCAGTTACAGCATAACACTACTGAAAACATATATAAGGAGCTCCATAACGAACAACGTTCATTTCGTTTTCATAAGAAAAATCTTCTCTGAAAATGTATGTTCTAGTGTGATGCCAAACGTCAAGGTTGAATTTAATTCATAGATGCAATTTCGCAACAATATTCGACATAAATACAACATATCAAGTAATGTCATTTGTAAACCGCATTGCCCAATATGTCTGATGAGCCGCTTAACCAATGGCGAATAGCGTCGCATAAAGCTGGGAATGTAGTATTTCTCTCGAAAGAGAAATAAATAAAAACATTTACATGAATGATCTTTCGCCCTAAAAACGCATAAAACTCACAAATTTTACAGCTTTGCCAAAAAAGTCAAATTTGCCCCGGGTAGCATTTGATGAGGCACATTCGGCACCCATTGGCATAGCCTGGTAATTATCATTCTTATCAGTCTAACTGGAATTGAGATCCTCAAAAGGTTTTATTTTGTTTTAATTTGCGACTCGATTTTTGAGTTTTAGGCTTATATTTTCCAGCGGCAAACGTTGACATCTCAAGGCTACACACACCATCAGAAATAGTTTTTTTTTATCGCATTTTCGTCTGTAAAAGATCATTTATTTACATGAATAAGAGATACCAAGCATTATTATTGCACTTTCAATATTTCAAAATATGGCATATTCTTTATATGCGAAGTATTTTTCTCGGTCACTCACGCGACGTAACTCACGCGACATAGTTGATTTTCCAGTCTTTATTTCTGAAGTGTCTGCATTTTTAGTCATTAAATTAGTATTAATGCTAAGAACAAGTAGAAAAAATGACAAATGTGGTCTTTCTTTGTAGTTTTTGCCTTTACTTTACGTATTTAAGCACAATTAAAGAAACAAATTCTTCGACTTTGGTTTACCATTTTGCGGAAGTGCCCATATACTGCATACACGTATTATAAACTGGCATAAATAAACAAATACAGGCATTCACATCCTGTGGTGTATATGGGGCTTAAAAAATATTTTTTTACTTTAGCAATAGTTTTGTGTAATTCTGAACTATTAAAATTAATATTCGAATCCGAAGATGGGCAGATGCAAAAAAGCAAATCTTTTGATTTCAATGTAAATATGTAAAGAACTAAAACAAATTATATAAAAACAAACACAAATGAATGAAATTAAATTACATAACATCGAAAGATGTACATGTTTGAATTTTGCAAGTATTCGTTGCTTTCGAATTTTCGGTATTTTGATTTTGTTATCCGGATTTTTCCAACGAAGGGCATTAATTTCGCGTTCTGGGTTAATGGAGGCGAAAGAAATCTCTACAGTACATTTTTTCTATAGTCTCATGTTTGACTGCAAAACCGGCATAAATAAAAAAAAAATATTTTGCCAAAAGACAATCGGACAGACTTCGGGCCCATGGTGTACCATTTGCATGAAATCGAACAAAACTATGTATTGGAGACATATATAATATTTCTGTATCGTTGTGAAGCAAATTTTACATCAGCCATTCACGATTTCATTTGAATCGAAGAAACGTTGGGAATTTAGGGCACAATTTAATAAAATCTGACGAAAATATATAGGTGCTATATCTAAATCTGAACCGAATTAGACGAAACATAATATGCTTCATTGTATACTCAATTAGCTTAACTGTGCAAAATTTAATCGCAATCAGACAAATTGTGGGTATTTCGTTTAACATTTAGACGAAATCGTACGAAATTATATAGAACTATATCTATCCTAAAATCGGACAAAAAAATATGTGGGACCTATATCTAGATCTGAACCCATTTCTACAAAAGAGTACACACGTTATTCTAGACTGAATTCAATATGACATTCAAAATTTCGTCTCAATCGCAGAAACGTAGTGTTTGGTGCACCATTTGCATAAAATCGAACGAAAATAATATGGGAGCGATTTGTACAAAAGTTAACATACATGTGTAACATCTCTTCTGAATCCGCCAAACCTTGGTAGTTTGGTGTATCATGCGCTTTACATCGCACGTAAATATATATGGGAGCTATATCTATATTTAATCCAATCTCGATGAAACTTAAATATATATATGGAGATAAATTTAAATTTGAACCGATTTTAACCAATAGGGATAATAATTGCGACCTGTACTTTCTTTACAATTCAATATGGACAGTCAGACGTACGAACGGACACTCATAAATCAACTCAGAAAGTGATTCTATGCATATTCTCAATCAAGAATCAAGGGTCTATATCCACAGTGTGGTGAAGACTATAAAAATCACGATTTTGTATTTATTTGTGGTCTAGTTCTTATATCCACTTTATCCGACCAGTTTTTCAAAGACAACAGAACTGAATTTAGCAGTTGACCAATTATGGAATTTGTTTTGTTTAAAGGTCAGAGATTCTATATAGAAAAAAAAATTAATTATTATTTTCATAATTTCATTCATAGTTTATTTTTTCCATATTGAAGATGTACCTCGCTTAGAATAAATGTAAAACTTCTTATTATCACGAGAAAGCCACTATTCCCAAAAAATCTAACTTTTCATTAATATCACTATTTGCGCTCACATTTTCTTTTTTCTCTTGCTCTCTCTTTAACAAATGTATTCCTCCCAAAAAAAATAAAAACACCACTACTCATACTTTTGTTTTGGTATCGTCCTCCGCCTATCCCCTCACTTGGTCAATGTTAGTTTTACAATCGTTTGACTACTGTTTCTTTTGCTAACAACTCACTCGTGTGGTTGGTTTTACATTTGTTAATTTTAGACTCTGTTACTGACCTTCTGCATTGTGTTATAAAATTCGCATTTGTAATTTCCAAATTGTTTCGATATAAATGCCAAATACAATATATGAAACAAATGTTGATACGAGCAACAAGCCCAATCGAATGTATAACCATGACGCATGACAAGAACATGTAAGGTAAAAAAGGAAACGATACTTAACTAAGAAGAAAACATAAAACCAAAATTGGAAAATTAAACCAATAAAGAGTTTCTGTGCTAAAGAAAGTGTACGCTTTTCTCATCAAACACACACACTCCAAAGTTTTGTTTTTCACTCTCTCTGACATGAAACTAGTATTTAAAATTTTACGAAATGCATTCATAAATTACAGAAATCCGGACATTGGCAAACCTTTCGGGACACTTTTCGCACAGTGTCCGTATTATTTGTATATTATTTAAATATTTGCCCTCAGGTGTTTGACTACCGAATATTTAAAATTATTATACAATACAAATTGTATCCGTGTCTTATCTGAATGAAAATGTTCAGTCGTTCGCTTTTTGGTTCATCGATACTAGGCCAGAATAAAAATGATATTAATCGGCTTTGTTGTCGACTTTATCGACGCTCGCTGGTCAAAAGAATTTTTTACGAGAAAAAAGTTCAGTATGACTACAAAATATTGATCTCAATTTACTGCAACGCCCTTCATATTAAGGGCATTTTGTCTCAGCGAAACAAATTGGAGCCAACGGCTGACGGAAAAGCTTTTCATGTTTCCCAACTGATAACAACGTGCATATGTTTGTTTCAGTATGCAAGTATAAATTGAAGTGAAGTGAAGAATCAACAAAAAATACAAATACAACAACAAGAATTTGTGTACGATGGAATTTCTGTTTTCCTATGGAAATTCAACACCAACCTTTCGGTAGGATGAGATATTTTTTTTTTTTATTTTAACATATGTGAGCGCCATTAAATAGTATGGTGTATGACGGGGACTTTCTCGGCTTGATGTTGAACTTTTGAGCAGCTCGGGATTTCCCTACATCAGAAAACAGAACTAAAAGACATTGTGAGAGGCTTTATATGGTCAAAACTTGGTGTTCTCCTATCTGCTAGTATACGTATACACACATATACCCATGCAGATTTGTTCATTATGCGTGTGTACATCTACAAGCTTAATTCTGGCACCGGAATGTAGATGCTTTTACTGGCTACTGCAGTAGAATGCCAAAGAAAATAGGTTTAAATCTGTAGCATATATTAAGAAAACAAATACAGAAATTAAAATGCCTTCCAAAGGAATCCACTTTTAAAAACTCATCCATCATGATGGATAGTGTCGTAATACTTCATTGTGTAGGGACGAATAGTTTTGTATTTCGACCCAAAAAATGCTCCACTGTAAAATCCATTCCCTAAAACTAACCTCTCAATTTATAACATCATTCAAATAAATCTATATGTATGAGTCTATGTGTGTGACTGTATAGAACGTGAATATATATGTATGTGTATGTATATATGTGCCCAGTTGAAATTGAATGCAAACAGAACAGTAACGAAAACAATGCCAGACAAAATGGTAGAAATTGAAAAAAAAGAAAAAAACAAAAAACTAAATGCCAGCCACATCGTCAGTGCCAACTTCCGGCTGTGGTTGTTGCTTTTATTGCTTTGGTAAAATGCGAAATGTTTTCAAAAACATCAAATGGATGGATTACCATGAAAAAAATAAAAAAAAACTGCAACAACAACAGCACAGAGTGGTTACGGTATATCTGCAAAACAAAATAACATTTCAGACAAAATGTAGAGCTACTGAATACCCAGTAACTTATTCAGTGGCATTTGTTCAACTATTTCAGAGTATCAAGATTTTGTAACGGCATTCGATACATTTCTCGCCATCTAGAATCAGTTAATGATATCCTTCATTTCGAGAAATAAGTCCGCAAGGAAATTAAAACAACTGTACAATTAAAACGAAATTAAGTAAAGGTCTTGAAACCCACAATGTCCAGATTTTAATAGTTCTAGGTTGATAACTACAATCTCGTTTAATATTATTTCAAATTAAGGACAAACTGGTGCCATAAATATAGACATAGGGTCATATTTATACAAATAAACTAACCGGGCCCCGTAGCTCTGTCTACGTCAGTGCTGGGATGCGAGGTTGCAAAAATGTCATAACCGTAATAAAGGCTTTCCTGTGAATATTTCAAAATGTTGCAAACGGAGTGACAAATCTAATATATACTCCATCTGCGGCTGCAACTTTTCAGTAGTAGGTTTGAATGCACTCTAACACACTCTTCACATACAGAAACAGCTTAGCTGCATTTGAGCTAAGAAGAACCAGAACCAGAATCTCTGAAATAATGACAATTGTTAAACAGAAAAGTTTTCATTTCAATAAAACACGTTTAATTAATAACATCAATCTGAATACTAGGTATCGATATACAGGTGACACATTGTAGCCATAACAGCAGACAACATTAGGAAATAATGTTTGTATGAACGAGGGCGACTTGTCGATAATGAAACCATACTTACATATTCTCAAATTATATTTTATTTTCACTTTACAAATTATTCGGGTATGTTCTGGAACTCACGGCGTGTTCTTTTCACTTCACACATACACTTCGCCTCAGAAGCTACCTCCTGTTCTGCTTCTCACGTGAATTGAAATTTTGAACTGCGACAAAAATAAACGTCGACATGGTACTTTGTAGAAGTTGTGTTGTCATACAATATAAACTGTATTCGTTTTTAACATTATTTCTGTTATTTTTTAGTAGTTTCGTTAATTCTAACGATAATTTTATTATTATTTTTTAATATTTTATTATTCGCAACATTAATTTGTTGATTGATTTAAAGGGAACATTTGGTAACCCTATCTTCTTCGGCCATACTTCAAATCAGCTGTTTGTGTCAAGCAAGAAATTCAGTTGAAGAAAATTCAAGACAAACCTTAGTATCTATTTAAAATTTGTTTTTAATGGCGTTTCATGTTTACTTTTTGTGATTTTAAACAATTTATACGCAGTAACAACGTATCAATCTATCATCATGTTCCCTTTTTATTTCAAAAAAGATTTCATTTTATATGGAAAAACATAAATACACCCGACTCTCACTATGAAAATGTAAGTGTAAAGCATACACCTCAAATGGGTGTAAAGTGTGTTACAGAACACCTCGGCGTGTGTTCGATACACTTCTGCCGTTGAAGTGAATGCCAGAACATGCCCGATTATTTTCCCCACTAATTCAGTAGTGTTTGCGGTTTAATCAATATTTGTTTTTATAGAAACACTCAACTTGGATTAAGACTGAATATTTTGCAAAAACAGAAATGTTTGGAATTACTAATGCAATGACACACACACAGCTTTTTTATATAAAATTGGAAACGGATGGATTTGAATGACGTACGACCATATTTCTTGGCTTTTGAAAACTAGGTCTTGTTTGTTTTGAAGGAAAAAAATTTACATAAAAAATTTTGATAGTATTTCTCTGGAATTTGTTACTTTCAAAATGTTCAGAAACAGGCTGTTAATATATGTATATTCAAAATTTTAGGTAGTGTTTAATTGCAGTTGCCGAAATTAAACATAGGCATATTCAGTTTGCTGGGTTCTATTATACACACTACAAATGAGTGCATGTGTATGAGTTTTTGAAATGTTCATTCGCTTGGATTATGCCATGACGCACACACACACATACAGGCAAATACATATACATACGTATGGAAAAAACAAATTTGGTGAGGTCAAAAGTGTATGCAGTTGCATATCTCATGTTGTGTCCATGTAGGAAAACATACATATTTACACATGTGTGCAATTGGGTATGTGTGTGTTTTCTAATTTCGAGCTTTAAATTAAAATTGATTGCCATATTCGTAGAGCTGTGTTACGAAACATTTTTCTTTGACCGAAAAAGGAGGACTTTTAGTATCTTTGTTTTCACCAACATATACACATACAACACATGTATCACCCAATATCGAAATATATATACATGTAGTATGTGCATCATTGCGATACATACGAATTCCGACATAGTTTAGGGGCATGTTAGGTGGTATGCGAATGTGTATGCCGTTATGGGCCAGCAAAGCACATTCACATACGACTGTACTATGTACAGAATATGTACTTACATTAGGCAAGGGAAACCCGTCCAAATGCCAAACAATTTTCGGCGTTGGATTGCCAGTTGCGCTGCATTTCAATGAGACCGACGGTCCTGGCTGCATGGTCTGCTCAATGAATTTGTAGATAAGCTGGGGTGCAACTTCTACGTTTTTTTTCGATTCAGTTCAATTTGAAAGAAGAAATTCAAAAAAGAGAATCGAGCAGGAAAGGAAGAGAATGAAGGAAATACAAATAGAATAGGAAAATACCGACGTGTTTGCAGGCGAACATTACTTACCACCCAGTCTTAGTTCGGCAGTGGCCTGTACAGATTCCAAGTCATTCTTCACCATGCATTGATACATACCCTTGTCTTCCTTAGTTATTGAGGTAATACGCATATGTTCTTTGGAAAGCAATCGAACTCGGGCACCAGCGCGCAGAGGATGTCCATCCTTTAGCCAGGATATGCTCTGTTTGGGAAAACCTGATATGCTGCAAATCTAAAATTCAAATTAATGATGGTTAGAATAACAAATCTAGGCATGGTTGAGCGTTGGGCAGGACGTAGCCGTAGCCGCAAAGATCTAAGAATAACAACCGTTTTTCTTTATGTCATGGTTTGGATAATTCGATGCAAACATTTTGCTTCACTTTATTTTCGTAGCTTGTAGATGAGTTTGGGGTAATTGGATTTATATTTCCTAGTCTTTTGGCATAACATTGACATGTCGTATAACTTACCAGATCGGCAATCTTCCCTAAGTTCACAGTTTGGACAGTGGGTTGAATGGCTGCCGTAAGCGGCGAAGTGACAGACATTTGGACCTCCAGCGTTTCGCTTCCCTCTGAATTTGTAGCCGTACAAAAGAAAGCCCCGTTATCGGACTTGTCCACCGCAGTTATAATTAGAGTGCCGTCCTTTATTTTTGCTCGACCTGTAGCGAGTAGGTGTTGTATAGATTCTTCGTTGTTTGCACGTTTGGTATGCCAGCTGCAATGATAACCCAATTTGCAACATTGAAACAATGAAGAGACAAAAAGAAAGCAGAATGGGAGTCAATTGTCTTTGTCTATATTATATAGGGAAAATAGTATTATATTGTGTGGCCATTTTAATTATCATCCCTCCTATACCCTACAAAGCAATGTTACCAAGGTATCATATGTTCTTGTTTGGACCAAGAGTTTTTGAACCTACGAAATGATTATTTTTGAGAATTACAAACTTGTTTTGTTACGTGCTCTGTTAAGAAAGTTCATCGCGCGCTTCTTCCATTTGGGGTGAAAATCGGGCAGAAAAAGTCGCAGTTTGGTATGGTTTATAAGCTGATGGCATCATTGAACCGCTCTTGTAACGTAACTGTGAATTCGTGAGATACCGGCCGAAAGTGTATGCCAAAATTTTTTGTTTGAAAAACTTTTTAAAAAATCTTAAAACATCAAGCTTTACTATACCCCAAGCAAATTGCAAAGTAGCTACCCTATGTCCCCGATGGCCTCACGAATTTTATATTTGAGTTCTTGGCACTGTGGCGTAGATCTTATCATTCCCGTGGCACCAAGGAATGCCTTATATTACAAGATATCGATTGTAATCACCTCTTCGAGAGATAAACCTGTCTGGAAAATTGTACCGTAAATGTGCAATGAGGTTGTTACTAGTGTGGCATGTAGTGCCGTCTTCTCAAATGTAAACGTTGCAGATTGTTAGGAAATATGGGTAAAAACATCAACCCAAATCCAACTGTGTTTAAAATGAAAAATCATAATTAATTGGGACTAAACCCCAAAATATTGTGCATGCAAAATGTTATATCAGAGCGATAAGAAATGCAATTTCTACGAGTTATAATAAACTTTCAATATACATTTCCCCTATGTTTGTTGGGTAATCGATTATTTGTTCGGACTGCAGTCATAAGGGGACTTCCGGAATATGAAGTCCAAAAGAAAGGATTATTGACATCGCACAACAATTGACAAAATGGAGGAACATTGATTTTTTCTTTTGGACAATCGCCTATTTTTGATCACAAACTGTGTTCAAAAATAACGAAGATCTGCATCGATTGGCTTTGCCCTAGTTCATACGATAGGTATACACTCACACAGAAACATCCCAAAATTTGAAATCGATTGGGTTATTACTTTTTGAGTTATCGTGGCCCCCATTCTCAAAAACGCTGTTTGAAGAAAAACGCGTTCAAAATTAAATTTTTTGAAACCGAGAAAAAGTTGATTTTAGAATGTTTAAGCAGTGAGCGGAGCAGTATAACTGGACGGGGCCATCCATATTATACCATAACTACCACTGGACTTCTATTTGCCGTGAAACAAATTACCGTGTCGGTAAAAAATTCTGTGACATATCCTCCAACTGGTGTGAAAATAATACTACTAGACAATATTAGAATATTAAAACCCTGTGAACATAGTAGTGTAATTCACATATCCGTGTATATAAATCAATATAATTTAAATAAATTTAAAGGTCAACTATACTCCTCTAGGTAATAAAAATGCCATAGAATGATTATTTTAATTTGTCTTGGAACAGTCTTGATTCACTTGGTCTGAAAAATATTGGCAGATCATTATCAAAACTGTATTTTTTTCGTTGACTAGATCTCTTTCACCGTATTTATTGGTTTATTGATGTTATAAATGAGACCACATAGTGCGACTAGAACTGATTTTATTTAATTTCATCTCTTAAACATCATCCGACCAACACAAAAAAAAGTTATAGATGTCGCACTTCACCATAACCGGAAATTTATGCAAAATTACATAGCTATCTGCGCGAAATTTTCGCCTTTTAGTGTGGTAATGGTAATTCTAAACAATATTAAGTTAGATTAGGTTGAAACGGGAGGTGGATAACACCACCACATGTCCAACAAAAAGGAAAGACACTTAAGCCAGTTGAGTGAGACTCCGGGAAACAGATGCCTTGAAATCGCTGAACTATGGTCATGCCAGCATTCTAAACATAACGCCAAGTTATGACCTTTTTAGGGGGGATAGTCATATCAGTGACTATATTCCCCCCACAGGGATTTTAATGACATTAAAGTCGAATTTCCTAACAGGGAATCCTGGACTAGTGGCTCCCTACCTCTGCCAGGTCTGTCAATCTTCACAGACGGGTCCAAGATGGAAGAAGGCACTGGCGCAGGCGTCTACTGCAGGGAATTAGGTATACGAAACTCATATAAACTCAACAATGATTGTAGCGTTTTTCAAGCAGAGATTCTTGCAATCACGAAAGCGGCCGAGATAGTAAAAGCGCTTAATACAGACTTTACAGGACCGGTGACTATTTACGTAGATAGTCAGGCGGCCCTGAAAGCGGTGAAGTCGCATACTATAAACTCGAAAGCAGTTCATGATTGTAAAACCGCTCTGAATGATATACGTCAAATAGTTGGGTTATGCTGGGTTCCAGGACATAACGATATTGAAGGGAATGAGATAGCCGACGAGCTTGCTCGAGGGGGGTCACAGTCGTCCAGTCTTCTGATTGAGAGATCTGTGAAACCCCCTATTAGCTATTTCATTGGCAGAATCCGCGCGTTCTATTGCGAGGTAGTCGGCAACGGATGGCTAAGGGAACCTGCATGCAGAATCTCTAAATCTATCTGGCCAGAATTCTCTCGTAAAAGAACGTCTTTGCTGCTGGATCACAACAAGAGGGAGATTAAGATCGTTGTGGGGATCATTACTGGTCACTGCAAAGTTAGATCTCTCACTTCTAAGTGGGACTCCAGTGGAGAGGATTACTGTCGTCTATGTGAGGATGAAGAAGAAGTGGAAACAATTGAGCACATCCTTTGCAAATGTCCATCGCTGATCAGCAGAAGACATAAACAGTTTGGATGTTATGAAATTGATAATCTAGTCTTCTTCTCCAAAATAGACCCTAACCTAATTCTAGGCTTTGTCAAAAAATTGACTTGGCTAAAATAATGTCTCTTCCGCTCCCACCTATTCTGACTACCTCTCTCTCTACTCTTCCACTATCTTTTCTTCTTTCTCTTTATAGGTACACCTATAATCACAATGGACATAGTTTCCGAGTGGACGGTTGTTACAACAGCCGTACATCCCAAACCTAACCTAACCTAAGCCAGTTGAGGCCTGTTTTGCGCTACAGAAATGAGAAGAAAGTTAGAATTAGGGAAAATTATATTAAACATCTTGAGTTTGATCTCCCTATGATTCTATGAATTCTGTGTTTTTTTTTTTTTTTGGAATTTCTTCAGTATTCTCCATTCACATTCCCTCAGATCCGTTAGTCCCATATCCCAAGAATTGCTTCCGAAGGTCTGTAAATGCTGGGCGTGGCACAGGGAATATTTCTGGGTTTTACTGCCTTTGCACCTGCTTATCGCATCCAATCTAATGTGGATGTGCTTTCAGGCTGAGGTGTCTCGTAAGAATACCTTGAAAGATACGCAACTAGGAAGGAACCTTTATATGAAGGACATGGCTAAACATAGACCTATGTAGAAATTTGTCCGCATAAATACAAGAACCCATCTTTCAAATGCCAAAAATAGGACGGTACTTTAATGTGAGAGCTATGTGTAAATTACCGTTACTTTTGTGTTAACACACTTACCAATATTGAAAATGTTTGGAGATTTTCTGCCCATGAAAAACGCAAAATACTATATTACCGGAATTTAAATTGAAAAACTTGCCAACATTATTTACGGGCTACGCAAAAATGATTGATATACCTATTTCCTATACTAAATATCCTAGGAGCAGCATGTAATTTAATATACACTAACTCCAATTTTTAGGGAGCACGTATTAAATTAAAACAAATTTCTTTCCATAAAATTTTAGCACTTTTATTTGACTCTTTTTTTAATTTTTTGCACCTCCTAGCATTTTTCGTATATTCCAGTACAGTTTTGTACATATCCGGTCACAGCCCAACTAGAATAAATTTATGCGGCATAGAAAGTAAATTTTGTAATTTTTCACACAAAAGTCTTGGTCCATTTAACCACCTCAATGTTCTTATTCGTTAGCGTTTCCAACATTCGTTTCCTCATTCGTGTTTAAGTATAAAATTATTTTTTTAAGAAAAATTGATCTCATTATAAACTATAAACAATTTTTTTTAAATACATTTTTAGCACTTTTTTCTGAGGCTTGTTTTTAAATTTTTAACACTTTAGCATATTTTTAAACAAAATCTAACATTTTTCCCAATCAAGTTTTGGAAACACTGGATATAACTGATATAACAATAACGTCAATAATTTCTTCAAAACAACATATTTCCGAAAATAATTATTTAATATTTTTTCGGATCGAACCAAATTAGGGTCACACTTTTTTACCTGTTTTATATTTAATAGTTGCAATTCCAAAAACGTTCAAGCCATTTCTTAATTGTATAAATATTTTCTGGATTTATATCATTGATGAAATATCCAACGATAACAAAAAAAAAAACTCTATAAAACTATTTGTGTTACACCGTTTCCACCGAGCACTTTTGTATTGTGTCAGGGGTTCGAACTCACATTTGTACATCACATTGATTTCAACTCAAAATTAAATGATAGGGACGTAGGGAAGGATAATGTTGCAACGAACAAGAAATGAAAATGGAAAAACAGAACAGAAGCAATTTTCCATATCAAGTGTGCTCTTCTAGATAAATGTTATAAAAGTCTTCTTCAATTATTTTTTACTTCACACCGCATAACCCTGCCGTCCCCTTGCAAATGCTGCGCATCAATGCAAATTGATGTCGAACTATTTTCTTCCTCACTTTCAGTATGCGATGTTGTCAGCCTTCGTTTCGTGGTAATTCCATTTTATTTCCT